AAGAAAAATCGATGAATAAATAATGACGAGTACGATGATGATGATGATGGTGGAGTTGGAAGCATGACGATCATGATAACGATGATGCGAGTAGAAGCGTAGGCGGGCAAGACGATAAAAAAATTCAATAAAAAATTCAAAAAATTAAAAGATTCAATGATAAAAAGAGTTAATAATGACCATAGCAAACATACTCATTCATGACATCCAGTTTATTATCATCATTATCATCATCACTTGAATAATTAATTAATTAATTAATTAACCTATTTATTATTATATTAAAACTGTAATTAATTCATTGATGGCAAACCATAATTAGATGATTATGTACAAAAAATAGCACAATTCCATTAACGAACAGAACGCTTAGATGCAATTTATTCAGTTTTTAATTCATTCATTCATTCACCCAACTGATCATTAAATCAATCACTTGTTCATTCATTTATTAATTCATTTATCCATTCATTTGTTCATTCATTCATTTATTTAGCGCATTATTTTAAGTATTTATTTATTCAAACATCGCAAGTTAACTGAAATAAGTTTAGTATTTCGTGTACAATTAAAGAGTTCGTACTATCATCATCATCATCATTATCATCATCATCATCAATACCATCATCACAATCATTACCACCATTATCATCAATATCACCACCACCATCATCATCAACATCCTTTATATCAGTACCATAAAAACTAAAACTGGTGATTATTAAGACAGCAGATGTAAATCATGAACACCATTTTATGTGGAGAATAAAAGGAAAAAACAGGAAACACACACACCACACATACACACGCACCACACACATCCAATCATACTTACACACACACATACCACACCACACACACACATACACACATACACACACATCCAAGAATACTTACACATACACATAAGTAAGTAGGTCCATGTAAGCAATCTTACTACTAATAGCATTATGAATACACTGCATTTGTAAATAATATATATATACATACATATATATATATATATATATATATATATATATATATATATATATATGCATGCGTGTGTGTATGTATGTGCATGTGTGTGTGTGTGTGTGTGTGTGGCGTGTATGTACACATCATAGAAATATACACACATGCATCTATGTGTATACATACCTAATAGTAAGCTGTAAGCTCAATGATATATCACAAATTCAATAAACATCACAATAATTATCGTCATCATCGTCGTCATCATCTCTTCTTCGGTGATTTTCAATATTCATTATCACCATCATTAATCATTATCACCATATTTTTATTTATTCTATCCAGCTTTTCCATCATCGTCATCGCCATTATTGTTGACGTCATCATGATCATGATCAGCTTTTTCATTATCACCATCGTTATAATCATCATCATCATCATCATCATCATCATCGCCATCATTGTTGACGTCTTTTTTTAATTTTTTAATCACAATTTTTTTATCACTTTCATTATAGTAGCTATTTTTACAATCATCAAAGCCATTAAAAGTAAAACCGCAGCAACATCTAACAGGGCCACATCGACCTGACGATTAAATCATTATTTATTATTACTACCATTATTGAAAGAATTTTTTACCTTCATTGTTATCTGTCTGACCGACGCAGAACACATCATCTTATCATTTATACCTTCCTACCACAACGGCTTCACTGCCCACGCCAGCACTGAGCTTTAGACAGACCGACAGATAGACAGACAGACCAACACACATACAGACCAGCATACATACAGACCGACATACATACAGACATACAGACCAGCATACATACAGACCAACATACATACAGACCAACATACATACAGACCAACCTACATACAGACAGACCGACAGACAGACCAACCTACATACAGACAGGCCGACAGACAGACCAACATACATACAGACCAACATACATACAGACCAGCATAAATATTGACAGACATACAGACAGACGGTATTCGAACCAGACAATCGCGTAACTGCACCATACATGGTTCTTCTACAGACTGAGCTAAATTGCATTAACAATATCACCACCATCATCATCATAATAATAATTATAATAATAGCAACAATTATTATTATTATTTATAATTATTTATACTTATAATTATTATTTCGTCGTTATCTCAATTTCAAACCTAGCTCTAGAAAGCCAGAGCAATTAAGTAGTCATCATATAATTATTATGACTATGAGGATTAATGCTATTATTATTATTTTGACTTATTGTTATTTTGACTATTATTATTATTATTATTATTATTATTATTATTACTATTACTACTACTACTACCCCCACTACTACCACTACAACTACCACTACCACTACCACTACAACTACCACTACTACTACAACCACTACCACTACTACCACTACTACCACTACTACCACTACTACCACTACTACTACTACTACTACTACTACTACTACTACTACTACTACTACTACTACTATTACTACTATCAACACGATCACTAGTGGATGTAATTTTTAAAACATACACTGCAACAACAACAACAGCAACAACAACAATAATAACAACAACAACAACAACAACAACAACAACAACAACAACAATAGTAGTAGTAATAATAACAATAATAAAATAACGTTGGTTTGACTTGATGTTGTTATTGCGTTTGCATGTTGTTGTTTGCACACGTAGTAAGTTGTCGCTGTTGATCGCCAGCCACCCAGCAACACCGGAACATATTGATGGTGACGTCACTGTTAACTTTGTAACCATGGAGATGATATCACCATCATTATCGTTAATATTATTCATATGTCTATGCCATTCTAATGTTACATACATAGATAGAAATAGGCCATCCACCACCGAAAAAATTAAAAATTACAGAGTACATATATACATAATTTTTTCTCTTAAATAATTTAAGAATTTTTAGAGGAACTAACAACACACACAAACACAAACAAACAAACAAACACACACACACACGCATGTTGTAGGCAGAGATTTATCGGCATTCGAACCAAGTTACTGCAACAGAAGAACCAGGCATCTTAACCATCTTGCCACCTACAAATATGGTATCTTAAAAGAGGTTGTTGTTGATAAAGATGTTGTTGTTTATGCTGTTGTCATTGCTGTTGTTAGCATTTTTTCTTCTGATGTCATTGTTGAAATGTAATAAACTGTTGTTGTTGTTGTTGTTGTCATGGGCAGAAATGATGTTGTTGTTTATTTTTGTTGATTTGTTGATTTTAGTTGTTGCAGTGTTGATGGTGTTTGTGTTGCTTATCAAGTTGGTGGGTCTTCTTACAGGGGAGGATAGGGTCTTGATGGGGTTAAACTTCTTACCGACATTCTCATCATCATTACTTTTTTCCTGCTCCTCTTGTCCGCTCGATCGATCGAATGATTTCTTCACACGAGCTGAAGCCGGCCTCTGGAATCTCATTCTGGCTGAGTCGATGCTGCTCTGAGCTGCGAGTCTTTCTAAATTGTTGTTGTTGTTGACGTTGTTGACGGCGTTGTTGTTGCTGACGTTGTTGATGTTGTTATTTACTAAGTCAGTGGCTGCGAGGTTGATGTTGCCTGTCTTGTCCGTGTTGTTGTTGGTGTTGTTGGTGATGAGGGCTGGTGGAGACTGATCGTCAAGTGTTCTCAAGTTCAAATTTTGCCGACTGACATTAGAGTTTGACTCACTTGATGTTTGGAAAAATTTGCCTGCACCGCTGCCAACACTACCACCACCACCACTGCCCGCACTACCACCAACAGCACCATTGCCACCGCCACCAGCACCTGAAGATGGAACATCGGGAGTGGATGGGGGGTCTTGAATGTCGTCTTCGTTGTTGTTTGAAGGGGTTCTCTGTTCAATGGAGCCAGCGAAGCAGGTGACCTTGCCGAGGTCCTTCACACATGACCTGAACTTTTCGACACCGTGTTTGTCTTCGAAGAGGACGTGGCATGAACGAGGTTGGATGCGTTGATCGATGTTCGTGTAGACTTCATTCAGCTCATCCACTCCCTTCGTAGGGGTGTGGTTGGGTGGTTTGTTAAAATGGTTTGTGGTGATTCTTTTAAATTATTTGTAGTGGGTTGGTTGGTGGTTTGTCATGATTAATTAGTTGAATTTGTTAAATATAAATTCCAGGTTATAATTATGATCAATAAATTAGCAAACTAGGTTTAACTAGGTTTGATTCATTAGTTTTATTTCAAAACTTATAAATGAAAACCACGACGAAATATAATAGCAATCAATATCAGAATAGAGAAGCAAGATACAGCAAGTGAAGTATCTAATGACCTTCAGTGCATCGGCCAGTTGACCTCTGTTGATTGATGTTTCGTGGAATTCCTTCAAACTGACAATGCATGTCATCGCAGTCGATATCTCTTCGAAGTCCGATTCAAACGAGCTGACTCGCTCATTGTATGAATCAATCACCTAGAAGTTTAGTTGTATATATTTATTGATCAGCAAAAAAGTCAATTTGAAGAAAAAAATTGTTTATATATCTAACTGTAAGAATAAATACTTACAATGTAACTTTGCATCAAGCACGTACTTTGTTTTTCAAGAGAGTAGCTCGTCTGTTCAGCAGGTGAGTGTGAGTTTCGAAGGCTGCATCAATCTTCAAGAGAGCCTTGTCCTTTTCTTCGGAAAATGCCTTCAATCGAGCTTCAAGTTCAACTTTTTTTTTTTCAATGAGAGCATTTGATCTGGCAAATGAAGCATCAATCTTGGCCTGGAAATCCTCTGCCACTGCCACCAGCGGTTGTTTTTGGTGGTTGGCACAGCTGCCTCCATCACTGAAGCAATCATCACAGGCGCTCGATGAACAATCTTTGCAAAAGTATTGAACCTTCTTCGTTTCGTGTGAGGCGCACGGAGCTTCATTCTCACCATTCTCACCAGATCCACCCACTCCACTGAGACCGTAGACAAGACTTTGAATATATTTTGCATAATAATTTGTTTGCAATGCAGCCACCCCTGCAACTGGAATAGTGGCAGGTTTCCTGCAAGATGGGCATTCAATCTCATCGCCCATCTGGCGAACAAACTCCCTCAAACAATCTTTACAGAATGTGTGATGGCACGGTAAAAATTTCGGCTGATGATCATGATCATCAAACAGACTCCTGCATATCAAACACATCAAAACATGCTCGTAACTGTCCAACTTTGAACTGCGATTCGGCAAGTTTCTTTTCATTTCGAAGAAGGAATTTTTCAATTCAATGAATATTTTTACAATAAAAAATGTTATTGTGAATTATTTATTTATTGCACTATCTATGCTGAACTAGTTGCATTAACCACTTCCCGACTAGACTATTCTGAACAAACTCTGAATTCAATTCGATCAAAAGTAAACTTAGTAAAGAAATTAAAAGTAAAATAAGTAGTAACTAATAAAATCTGTTTTATTGTTTTAAAATTTAAATTTAATTAATACAATTCCAGCTTTTCACAAATTTAAATTTAACTTGCACTTCCTCCTGATCCTGAATTCAATTGTTTTAGTTTTTTAACCAAGTCAATATCATTTTTTAAATAAAGTGTTTCTAAGTCTCTTCTTGCAGCCTTCTGCAGTAGAATTTTGAATTTAATATTTTAATTATTATTTTAATTCATTCATTAATTAATAATTAATATATTAAAAGATAAACAAATTATTAAATATATAAAGGTGAAATACGAATTTATTATTATACAATTAATGAGCTTCTTAAATTTCTTTATTTTTAAAATGATAAAATAAAAATAAAAACACATAAATGGAAATAATGAATGAAAAGAAATGAAATGAAGGCTATCTTCTTATTCACTTATTTTATTGTTCGCAGTATTATATGGCACATTAGTTGATTAGGAAAAACAACAGACACGCCGGACAGGTGGTTTCCTAAATGAAGTGCACCACTAACTCCATCGTGGATTAAAAAGCGAAATTAGTAAAAAACCAATACTTTATTTTTTATGTCAACAAAACATTTTAAAAACTTAAATTAACTTTTAAATTTTATCCGGAACCATAGACAAATATTTATTACCAATAAGATTTTGTGCTCACTGGTCATTTCCATTTTTTAGTTGATCATACAAAATTTGTAAGTTCACCAATATGTTAAAGTCGGAAAGTTTATGCATTTAAGTCCGTCGGTATAATTCAAACCTTTGCATTCATATACCATTTTTCAATTCATTCAAATTCCCCAATCAACCAAGGAGACTACACTACACTTAATACACGCCTATTCAAACACAGAACGAACACAATATGGTGAAACAGCTGAAAAGCAAAAAGGAGTATTTTGCATCCGCGTTCACAAACGAGAAGGTAGACATTATACCAGCAATTAAAAGTTTTTTCAATGGCTCAAAAGACGAGTTACTTGGAAAATTGTCAATTGATACCGAAAGAAATCGAAACAATTTTAAAAGTTGTACAACTGAAGTAAAATTAAATAGCGTTTAAACAAGAACATTCAATTAAAATTAAGAAATTTGATCGATTAACCAGCTTCTACTTCGTCATCGATAAAATTTTCTAAAACTTTTGCTGACATTTTTAAAACACATAAACTAGAAATAGTTTTAAATTGATTCCTGTAAATGGAAACCTTACTATCATAAGTAACGTCAGATCGAAAATCCTAACGATTAAAACTATAATACAAGAAAACACCACAAACTAACGAATTGATTCGGGGATGCTATATAAGGAAATGATTTTAACAGTAATACGTCTGTGGACAAGTACCCAGTAGAAACGGGACACGTTTCCAGTCTGTACAAACGGATACTATTCCCTTCTTCTTTTCACTCCTGCGCTTCAGACAGGTGATTGAAAAAAACATTACCGTAATCTTAAGTGTGCTAAAATAAAAACGTGAATCAGAACAATGCTAACCATTGGAATTATCGAAGTTTCAATTCTATTCCTCCAATGACAAACCATTTGCCTGCCTAGGGCATCATAATGTGACAGCAGCGACCCGTCAGCAGTGGAGTTACTGCGTACCAATCATCGCGTTTTGGATCGTACCGATACACAGTGATCATCATTTTGCTTTCGGGATCGAGTCCTCCACTCATATATATTTTTTCATTGTATATACAGCCGACTGAAATGGAGATTTTGCTGAAGTGTATGTTTTAATTCAAATGGTAATGAATTACATTAGATTTAACAAGAACGAATTGAGCCAATTAAAACCCATGATAAAATAAAATTCTGTAAATGAGCGTAAAATATTGAAAAAACAATATTAGGAAACCAAAACTCCTACCTGAAAAATTATCCAACTGAACAAGTATTTGACATTTGGTACCATCAGCCTTCTTTGAGAACGTACTTTTCGACAGTTATCAAACCGTTGTCAGCATCTATATTAACTACAGTAACTTTGTACAAATCACATCACCAACCATTTCACAAAAGTAAAAGTGACAATTTTGAGAAAGCATGTGTATGACCATTACCTGGGATATGACGTTTCGTTGATGAGTTTCAAATTAATCCAAGTAATGTTTTTTTGCGGTCTTCACGCTTGTTTTTTTTTAGCAGATAAATAAAAACAGTCGCGAACTGATTATAGTAGGTTTAGATCTAGACATCATATGACTCCAAAAGACTACCAAACAAGAATAAGACTCTGCGACAACGACGATCAATGCCGATTATGTGTAAAACTGTAAATTGATCTGAATCAGTTCCACACTTAGGAATGACCTGCATTGAGGAAGATGAGACGGAAATATCGATGGAGGCGGTGGAAACAGTATAACCAATCCTTGGAGTGTTGAATGGTTTATGAGCTACTACTACTACAGCAACAGCGATGAAAACAGACACAGCAGCTACAAAAACGCTTCTATCAACAAAACTAACAAGAAGAATTGACTGCACGAATAATAACATCAACGACTCAATCAGTATATGTCGCAAGTACACTAAAAAGATGTTTCGTTTTTAGGAAAATCTATTTAAAAGTAAAAATATTAACAAAATTTTAGACTATTTTTTACAATGGCAAAAAGCAAACATAAAACAGATCAAATTATGAAATATTTTAATTCGAGAAAAGATTTGAACGTCGAAACCCTCCCCCTGGCTCCGCCCAAGGGACATCGTCAATTTTATTCGATTTACTTCTAGTTCATGTAAAGTATATTAAATTTATTGTTCATAATTTTGTTAAAACATATTTAGTTCAAATCTTCACTCTGTAAAGATTTACAAAGTAAATATAACTATGGATAGCTATAAATGTTTTAGTCGTTTTTTGCTTATCACACAACTTTCAGTCAATTTTTTTATTTAAAACAGCGTTTTCGTGTATAACAGCTGTGTTTTAATGTATAAAAAGTAACAAAATAATTAAACAATATAAACAAACGGTTAACTGTTGATAATGGAGGGGGCATACGGGAGGACCATGCTGGAGTACCAAGCCCCTCCCCCTTTTTACGTCATGAATCAGTAAAATTACTCAAATAATTGTTTTTTGGTATTTTTTAAAAACCGTTCATCGAAAAATTATTTTTTACGATTATTAATTAATAAATCAGAACAAATGCAAAACAGCATCCCAACAAAAAAAAAAGAATTAAAAAATGAATTAAAAACCAACAATGTTTTATCATTATTTCTAAATTGTTAATTTAAATAAATTAATATTGAAAGAAGCGAATTAATTATTCAAAAAAATTATTAATCAATAATGTTAGTTACAATTGATAATAAAATTCAATGTTAAAAGTATCATGATCATTAAAAAACAAATTAATATTCAAAGAAATGTTTTGTGGTAGGTTGATCGGCAGACCGGGCAGACGAGTTCAGAGGCTGTCAATGTTTCAATTGCAAACATCTCAAGTGTGTCGAAGCATGGTTTGTGGTAGACGTGGGAGCAAGAGAGGATGTAGAATGGTGTGCTGGCTGATGTAGACCTTATTGATGGTTTAGTTGCCAGGCTGTTGTTTTCGTCGTTGTTGTTGCCGTTGAAAATGTTGTTGCTGGTAGCGTTATTGGCGTTGATGTTACGATTAATCTTAGTCTTGTGAATTTTCTTTTTATTGTTGTTTTTGTGAATGTTGACATTATTGTCGGTGCAGTCAATTTTTGTCTTGTTGGTTTTGTTGCTAGAAGCGTTTCTGTAGCTGCTGCGGCTGCTTTCATTGCTGCTGCTGTTGGTGTCGTTGTTGTAGAAACCGTTCTTCTGTGGTTGTGTAGCTGATGAAATTATTTTCATGTTCACCAAACATATCGGACAGTCTTCATTGCCTCTCCGAAGTGCCTGTTAACAATTATTTCGTGTATGTGCGTTTGTGCGTGCGTGTGTGTTCGCATGTATGTGTATGTTTCTTTCTGTATGTGTATGTCTACGTTTGTATGTTTGTGTGTGGTTGATAAGGGAGGAGAGTATTTAAAGTTGACTCCGTCTTCAATTAAGATTTTTAGTTGTTCATTTATTTAATTAGTCGCGATCAGTTGTCCAACAATTAAACGTTCATTTGTAACAAGTTACGACAGTATAACAACCAACACTTTGTTCAGGTGATGCGACACCACGAAAACAACAGCCGAAATATATATAATTAAACAAATTAGATTGAATGAAATGAAATAGAAATTATCATAATTAAATCAACATGAAAAAAACTTAACCTTGATCTTAACAGCTGCCCAGTCAACATCATCATCCTCGCTCATCAACTTACGGTTTATTCGTCTGCTTCTGGTGATGCATGTATTCATTTCCTCCATCAATCCATCCACATCCAAGTTCACCGTCGCTACCACTTTGTCCACTATGCTCGATAACTGGCCAATGAGGGGTTGGTTGGTTGGAAAGATGATTGGTTGATAAATTGGTTGGAAAGATGATTGGTTGGTTGAATAAGTTAGTTAAACAGATTGATTTGTTGATTGATGATTTTGTGGGTTGATTAATTAGTATGCGAATGAACGAACGAACGGATAAATTAAAAAACGAACGAATGAACGAACCAGCAGATGAATGATTAACTTAATAAATAATAATTATCCAATTCATCATTTGGTAAACTGCTTGACTGATGATAAATCTTCCAGCAACTGCTACAAAACTCAGAAGTCGCAGGGACAGGTAATACAATTCTATTATATCTATATTAAATTTATTACAAGCATTAGCCCTCTACCAACAAAATCACCAACAAAAAGACAAATAAACATAGAAACAACCACAACAACACTCACTTTTCCTTCGAAATATTTCTTTTTAAGAGTTGGATGCTTAGGCGGGTTATTCCTCAGGTGTTCCTCATAAACCTTCATACACCTATACATCTTCCAGGTTGACTGGATCCTTTTCATTTCATGTTTGGGGTAGGTTCGGTTAATTAAACAGAAATTAAAACTTCGTAATGGAAGCAGTTCTCAAATCAAAACACGTTGCATTTGAAGTTTGGATTAAAATACAAAAAAGAGAAAAATGTATGGACTGTAGAGGATTTTATCCACCGTCACAGCTTGAAAATTATAATTTTCAAATAATAATTATCATCTGAACTTTCTTATAAATTTTAAATAATTTTATTAACGCCAGATTTTGATGTGTACTGGCACACTTCATTGACTTTCAATTTGAGACCATTATTCGTTATAATATTATGGTAATGCCATTACTTTGTGTATAGTTTGAAAAAGAAATTTAAAGAAAATGAGATGAACGATTGAGACGAATGAATGTATGAATGAGGGAATGAATTAAAAAAAAATATGAAACGAGAAAGGAATGGAGGAATAAGTAAATTATTAAATGGATGAACAATTCAATGGAAACATAAGGGAAGAAATGAATAGAAGAATAAATGAATGAACAAACGAATGAATGAATGAATGAATGAATGAATGAATGAATGAATGAATGAATGAATGAATGAATGAATGAATGAATGAATGAATGAATGAACGAAGAGGAATTCAATAGAAACATAAGGAAAGAAATGAATGGAAGAATGAATGAATGAATGAATGAATGAACGAAGAGGAATTCAATAGAAACATAAGGAAAGAAATGAATAGAAGAATGAATGAATGAATGAATGAATGAATGAATGAATGAATGAATGAATGAATGAACGAAGAGGAATTCAATAGAAACATAAGGAAAGAAATGAATAGAAGAATGAATGAATGAATGAATTAATGAATGAATGAATGAACGAAGAGGAATTCAATAGAAACATAAGGAAAGAAATGAATGAATGAATGAATGAATGAATGAATGATTGAATGAATGAATGAATGAATGAATGAATGAATGAATGAATGAATGAATGAATGAATGAGTGAAGAGGAATGAAACAGACTTCATGGCACATTTGTTCAGATAAAATGGCCTTGCGGAGCTGATGAGTCTGGTTTCGTAGTCACTGCATCTACACAAAGGACAAGTCCTCTGTCTTGTCAATTTCTCAAATGCTTCCAAACAACTCTTCATTGAATTCGTAATTAAAATTATTGACGGTTTTAAACGGTGCAAGAGTTTTTGGAATGAAGAATTTAATTATTAACGGTGCATTGGATTTAAGGTGCATAACGTGTGTGATGCTTCTAACCACCTATAATGTATATATATATTACATATATTATATATATATATATACATATATATATGTTTTACATATATACACGCTGTTTTCTTGTTGTTGATAGCTTCACTTCAATCACGTGAGAGATGTTTGTAATAAAAAAAGGTAAAATAAGTTTACGAGTATAATATTATTTAATTAGTTGACATCAACCAGTTACTTAATTCACTGATTAGTTAATTAATTAATTAATTTATTAATTAGTCAGTTAATTAATTATTATTGAATAAACTGATCAACGAACTGATTCTGGTTAAGTTAATGAGTTAATCATTAATTTAAATTTCTAAATTAAATCCTTCATTGGATCAACTTAAATTGCTACATTAAATAAAATTTATTTCAGTTATTATTTATTTAATTTTAATGAATATACATTTAGCAAATAATAAAAAGGTTTAAAAATTTAAAAAAATAACCTTGTGAAAGACATGACTGCATGATATTATGACCTGGGTTCAAATGTGAAAAAGAAATAAAAAAGGTTGATGTATTTGTAAAAAATATATATAGACATAGAAACAAAAATTAATAAAATGAATATAATTAATAAACGAATGAATGAATAAATGAAGAATAAATAAATAAACGATTAAATGAATGAATGAATAAATTAACGAATAAATACAAAATTTAATATAAATATATATATAGCCATTCAAGCGTTATAACTGTATGTCATCAATATAACGTATTTTTTGGAAAACTTTTTAATTGAATGAAAATAATAGATACTTTTAATAGATGTTACACAAAACTATATCAATTAAATTAAAACTTGGAGATGAATAAAAATACAACTCAAACCAACAAATCAATATTTTTTATTTATAATTATATCATATAGACAAAAAAAAATGATGATTAAAATTAAAGAGAACAAAATATGACACGACACAGCAAAACAAAAGACAACCAAACAAAACAAAAAGAAAAACAAAGAGACAAAACACTGGCATGTTGTTGAGATCCAAGGTCAACTTTGCATATAACACAAGCCTGTTCGAAGTCCCTTCTACCCGCGGCCTTCACCTTCAACAACATCCAATCAGCTTCTGTTAAGGGCTCATCATACTTCACCAGACCCAAATTCTGGGCTGAGAAATGAAACCAACGTCGAAACGAAACGTGCGTGATAAATATTTACACATATAAATCTCAATGATAGCTATATCAAAACTTGGAATGGTGGTAACAGATTAGATACATGACAAAGCTAACTATTGTATAATAAAAATTGAAATATAAATAAACCATACTAACTATTCTAAAATTGAGTAATAATTGTAATAATTCATTAATTTTTTTTATTGGAACAAATCTTTTCTTGAAATCATTCATTTGAAAAAATTATTCTTAAGAAAAAAATTATTTATTAAATATTTTTAATTCCACCTGACCTAATGTTTTTGTATGACTTTTGCTTCTCAAGACATATTCTTCATTTGCATTTCTCGTTTGTCCTTATTTCAATATAATTTCAATATAATTTTTTCCTTATAATTTCTTAATTTTTTCAAACTAATTCAACAAAATTAGAAACATGAAAAAAAGTTATAGACATAAACATGACAATAGATGAAACTGTAAATAATGAATTGAATAAACAATGAAGTCAATGTTGGACTACTGATTTCATTTGACAAAACAAAAATTTGAATTCTGGGAACTTGCTTCTTTGATTATTTTGAGAAACTTGTGACGATTTTTTTGTGAGTTTCAATGATCTATTCAATTCATCTTGCAATGCTACGGCAGTCAAAATTGATATCTATTGGTATAGTATAGTATATTCAAATAATTTCCCAACTTTTTTATAAATTTTGTAACAAGAAAGAAAATGGCAGAGCTTCACTATTAAGAATATCTAATATATTAAAATAGGCAAGGTTATAAATTTAACTGCCAAAATTAACCATAAGTGTGCAAACTATTAATTGAAATAATCATAAAATGAAATGAATTATTCAACAAAATCCACACATGCAGCACAAACAACACAGCATAGCAAGCAACAACAACCCATGATTCACTAACACGTTTCGGATGTTCGCCATTCCTTTTCATTATCATGTTCGTGGCTAACCAGCAAGTTTTTATTTGTGGTCATGTGAAAGCAGAGTGGTAAGTGTGAACATATTTTTATTTTATTAATTTATTTTATTCTGCTAACTTAGTGAAACTAAAACATTTTTAACTTATGATTATTTTACCTACATTTGAATTCAACATAAATAATAATTAATTAATATTATTGAACGTAAACCTTTACACGTAGCTTGTACAAAAGTTAGTGGAGTACTACTGGATGTGAAAAGGTAGCAGAAGTAGACAAAGATGACTAGTCACTAGACTAGACTAGCTAGACAGAACAGAAAGGAAAGACCGTAGTAAATATGTAAGACGTAAGTATAAAGTATATTATTAAAGAAAGAGTCAATCTAAATTCGAAATATCATGTGGTCAAGTTCAAACACAAAAAAACTAAAATGAAATTATTATTCAAAAAGTTAAAATAATTATATCGCTCCACGTAACATTACAAAAACTAGTTAAACAAAATTTTAGTTGATATTTATTTTTCAGGTTATGGTTAGTTCGTGTGCGTTTCCGTTGCCTTGACAACTGTACAAAAGTAAACGTTTAAAAGTAGGGATGGAAAGGCACTAAAAATAAATAAGCCAAAAGTTTATTAGAGATCGAAATATCTAGTTACAGTTTTATTTGATTATAAAAAATATAAAAAATTTAGTAAGTTCAGGCACTTTTTATTTGGAAAACATTAAACATAATGTTTTTTATTGGTTCAATTAATAATAAAATAATAATAAATAAATAAATCCAAAATAATAAACTAACAAGCAACATGAAAATTGCAAACAGGATGCATGATCATTGAAATGTGCTTCAAAGCTACCATGCAATTACGAATGCAGGCTTACAAATAACATTACAATGCGACAGATATGTAACCATATGTACAATTACATATAAACTACTAATTAACATGTAAACTATGATGTTGTCTATAAATAACAGCTAAACATATGATACTACAAATAAATTATGAAATTGTTACGTTCTGTGCAGTTTCTCTTTATATCTATTATGTATTTATATTAGTCTTACGTTATTTCGTTGTAATTTTTAGTCGAGTTGCCTCTAAAGAAACTAATCGTAAGAGGCTTTGAGTGGAGCTGCAGTCACTTGCAACTGCATAGAATTTATCGTTAAATTTGCACATAAATTATTTTTAATCAAATCTTTCCGTATAACTGAAAATTTAAAATAAATATTTGATATATGCGCTGCTTTTTCACGTAGAGATGATTATATGACATATTAAAGGCTACGTTATTGTACCTAGGACTGTTTTTTATAACAATATATAGACGCGTACATATATATATATATATATATATATATATATATATATATATATATATATTTCATTTGTTACGCCATGCATAATGTGTATTCTGATATAAGCAGCATTCAGTAGAACATTTGACGATACGAGAAACAGACTTAGCTGAATAAGCGCACTTTGATATGATTGAAACAATTTTAATAAAAATGAATGAGAACAAATATGGCAAAAACACGTGATCGTGATAAAACGCAAAGATGCCTATAAAAGGCAAAACGAACATTACAGTTGTTGACAAATACGTTGCCAAGTTTTTTTAGTGTAAATTTTTTTTTAAAACATAAAGTTTATAGCAAATGGAATTATGTCGAAATCGTATCAAAATTCAGCACAAGCAAATAACGACTCGCCATCGAGCTACTTTGATGAAAACAAAAAGGATACCAATGGAAAAATTTTTACAAATAAAAATTCTAACCAGACAAATTTCACCGAGGAAGAAAAAGATTTTAGCGATAACAACAATGATGAAGAAAACGATAGAGAACGGCTCCATCAAAGAATTGAAACAATAGACGAGTTGGATGATGCTAGAATCGGTAAACTAAGGTAGTAAACATCATTGGTAATATACACTGTAACATTTTTTTTTCATAAAAACAATTTAATTTTTATTTGAAATAAATGATTTACGATACCCTAATATTTTTAACGTTGCCAAATCATGTAACTGTCATATTAGAACCATTTCTCACATCTAAAATTTACCTTCAAAATCTTAAATTCAAAATCACCGATTTACCTAAATTCTTTTGTTTCTCATTATAAGTATTTAAGACACTCAAAATTTTCAAGTAGCAGTCTCCAGTTTGGAATGGCCTGGCAGCGGAATCAGAAATAGTAAATTTATGTCCAGCTTTTGTTCGTGGATGCTGACCTTTGAGCCAGCTATGCAATTTTGAGCCATATTATTATTATTATTATTCGCAATATTATTATTATTCACTAAATTGCTTGTATTTTTGTACTACCAGCTTATACAATGACGTTCAAGTAGATTATTAAAAAGCAGAGAGAAACATGTTGTTAGATCTGTATAATTTATACGCCATGGTATAAAGAAGTGTAAATATGTTGGAAAAAGTCGAAACATTTGAGAAAAAATATTGCAACAAGGGTTTGGTTGTGTGCAGTACAAACTGATTAAATACAAAGCTAAAAGCTAATAAAGTCGACAGCTATGTTAATCCTAAAAGCTAAGGGTCTTGATATTTCATTGTTCGTTCGATAAAACACATTTAATTCACTATAATTTTAATTTCTTTTTCAGCAACTTTCAAAGTCTGATGAATTTAATGAAAGGAAACATTGGCACTGGCATACTGGCTCTACCAGCCGCTTTCAAGTTTGGGGGATTGTGGGTAAATGAATGAGAAAAATATATAATATAATGTAAATTTCACTACCATCCAATTATTCATTTTAAATATTTTAAAATTTAATAAAACGTTTTGCAATATATTCTATTGCAAGAAAACTCTTATTTGAAGGTAAGTTTGGCATGCCTTTTCTTAATTGGAGTAATGGCTATTCACTGCATGCATCTACTCGTCAAGGCTTCGAGATTGGTATATGAGAAGTTGGTACATCAGAGATCTCTGATTTTATTGAAACCTTTCCAAATATTTTATTTTAACAGTTTTAAATCACTTTTTCAAAAAAATCGCCTTTTTGGAAAGATAAAATATATGTTTTAAAGAGCTGGCCAATCTGGAATGGATTATGGCCAAGTAGTTGCAGAGGTGTTCCTGCTGGGTCCCCATCCAATACGAAAACTCTCTAGACACATGAAGTCACTCATTAATATTTAGTTTTTTTTTATTAAAATTATTTTCAGTAGCAACCATTAACTTAAAATGTTAATTATAATATTCATGTTTAAATTTTTGCATGTAAATTAATTATAGGATAGTTACGTACGTCTTTTTGTCCCTGACACAGTTCGGTTTCTGCACGGCTTACATAGTTTTCATATCTTACAACATTCAATTAGTAAGAATTTCTACTTTTCAGCGTGAAGCTTATTAGTTTATATAAATTATGTTAATATTCATAAGTTAAAGTTAAATTTTAATTATAAAGATGGCGAGGTGTTAGCCCGCGCTCCACTCCACCCTAAATACTTTTTATTTATTACAATATAATTGTTTATATCTTAATTATTACGTAATTAATAGAATCCGACATTTAAATTGAAATGTAAATTCTGAAGGTGGTCGAAGAATACTCACCATCGACTCGCTGGTCACCTCAAGTTTACCAGTCTATCGTCTTCCTTGTCCTGCTACCTTATTTGTGCATCACACACCTGAAGATACTTTCATTTTTCTCCACGATAGCAAATATTCTGATGATTTTTGGTCTTGCAGTCGTGTTGTATAGTTGTTTCGTTGACATTCCTTCAACAAATCTGAGACCCGCTCATGGTTCCTGGAACGATTTCCCTCTGTTTTTCAGTATCGCAATTTTCACTTTTGAAGGAATCGGATTGGTTTGTCAAGTTTTAAATGCTCCAAAAATTTATTAGATTCATTAATTGTTTTGTATAATTTTGTTTTGATGAAAAATTATCTTTTCATCCTTTCAAAAGAATTTTAAATATTAAGATCTTGCCGATTGAAAGTCAGATACAAAATCCAAGAGACTTTAATGGTACGTTTGGGATCATCAACCTAGGCATGATCATTGTAACGTGTTTGTATGCTGGTTAGCAGCTCTTTCGTTATTCATGTTCACTTGTCATAATTTTAAGATAAAGTGCCAAAAGTATCTTTTAAATTGATTTATTAAAAAATTGAATAATAATAAAAAATGAACAAATATATAAACCAATGGATGATAGATTGACTGAATGAATGAATGAATATATGAATGGATGAATGAATAGACAAATAAATAAATTTTACTGATTCGATTTGAACAGCTGTTGGTTTCTACGGTTATCTGAAATACGGTGATGATGTTAAAGGTAGCATAACATTGAATCTGCCCGGCACAATGTTAGGTCTATTTTCGTTACATATATTATGAATTTATTTTTATAAAATAGAAAAATATATTTACCTGTATTTGTAATGAACTCCAAGCACAAAATGATTTTTAGATTTTACAACATTGTACGTCTCTCCTTCGCACTTTCAATATTTCTGACCTATGCTGTCCAGTTCTACGTTCCTATTGAATTCATATGGTCCACTCTTCAAGAGAAACTCGTCAATCGTGCTTTCTGTCACAGATTTGGAGAATATTTCTTAAGAGTATTCTTCCTCATAATCACTTGTCAGTTCGTTTTGAATGACTATTTTGTAAATCGCTTCATTAATTAGTTTAATAATTTATTTAAAATAACGTGAATGAAGGTATTATTTATTACAATTAGATTAATTTATAATAATTACAAATTTTTGTAACAATCTTTTATCATTTGTTATCAACAATAAAATGTTTTTGTCAAAGATGTTCTTGCCGCGATAGTCCCATATTTGGAGTTGGTGATCTCGCTGGTGGGAGCCCTTGTAAGTACGTCTGTCGCTCTCACGATTCCCGCTCTTCTCGACATCATCTTGTGCTCTTCCATCTACAATTACGACAATCTCCAGGCAAGCAATGTCCAGCCTCAATGGTTTAAATTGAAAATATTAAAAAATGTTCTGATCGTTTTTGTCGGAGTTTTAGGGACTGTTGTTGGTAGTGTAGTGACTATTAGTGCAATTGTCAGAGCTTCTGAACATTCCTAAAAATTTAATACGTAAACAGAAAAATTAATGAACAAGTTTATTCATTAATTTATTTGATATATTTTAATAGATTCATAACAATTATGAAATTGTGGTAGAAATATTATTGTTTGTTTGCGTCTAACATCTTAATGAAAGTGTGTCTGTCATATTTAAAAGCTTCAAAATTTTGCTTTAAAGCATTTTTTGTTGATGATATTTAATAACATTAAATTGAAATTTATTTTAAAATCAAGTTATTTTGTACCTTATAAAGAATTTTATACTGTTGAATAATGTTTTCACAATTTTACTTGACCTCCAAAAAAATTAAAGATTCTTGATTAAGGTAAAGTCAATAAAAAATAGCCGAAGTATCATTATTATTTATATTATAAGACTATCAGTGAATCGCTTTCTATTAGTCTCAAACAACGTTGGGCAATATTTTAATAAAGCAAAGACAAAAATCATAAATTCATAACAATTAATAACATAGGTACTTATAACATAAAAAATAACTAACAACATATAATTTATATAACAAAGTTTTTCTTTTCTTCAAATAAATGCTTCTACAATATGGTCTGGCTTCTAATTTTAAATTATAGGGAAAGATCAATAAAACTAGTCCATTTTGCATATTTTCGGATGTAATGATTCTTGGATTTTCATTTCAATTTTTATTTTAATTCTCCAATAATTTTTAAGCCTTTGTAGATTAGAGAATGTTTTTTCTGGTGTGACAGTTGATGCTGTTAAAGTTGACAAAACTTGAAATAAAGTGCAACCATTCGCTACAAACTTGTATCACACAAAGCTGGACGTTCCAAGCGGATTTAGAAGTTGAAGATGAATGTGGTTGGTACGTCTGAGAAGTGGCGCCATTTTAAAACCTCCGAGCTAATGTATGTTTCAAAGTATATTAATAATTTTCTTTCTCGTTAATTGTTTACATCATTAATAGGTTGGAAGAAATTCATGCAAAATTTTCGCATGCTTATTGCTTGGATAGATTTACATTCGCGGTAAATATCGCTGCTGAACTGTTGAAAGATTGCTAAAGGCAAAATAAATGTTTGTCTATGGAAACTTTTATAATGTTGGACAGGGATGCAAACGATAAATGATAAAGGTGAAATTTTCAAAAGGCCAATTACACACTTCCAAAGTTTAGAGGATCCAACAGAGCGCACGAACATCGTAAATGAATGCGTGCTAAACGACGCATCAGACACGAAGCATGTGGTAGGCGGGGATCTTTTTGTCACATTCGAACCCGGTTACTGCAAAACAGCACCAGGCGACCTTAACCATTAGACCGTAACTAGGGGGTATGATAGTCTACAGTTACTGGTTGGCAGTATTGCAGTGATCGGATTTAGAGGTGAGCATTTGAACGCGAATTGCGGGAATTTCATGGTTCCCATTGGGATTAGTAAAAACTAATTTTTTTTAGGAAATAAGAAATTTTATGGAAGAGCAACAAATACATGACCAAATTAAAAAAATTAATATTGATCCAAATGTCAGTTATCTATGCAACTTAACACGCGTCCGTGTGCGTTAACAATGAAGATAAGCACGTGCAGGCAACGGAGCTGTAATGAAATTATATATAAATATATATATATATATATATATATACACATATTCGTTATATGTGTATATAACAATAAACTATAAATCTACATATATATATATATATATATATATATATATATATATATATATACATGTGATCGAGGAGACATACACATTCACATACCTACACAGTACACACCACATGTGCGTTAACAAAGAAGATAACCACAGGCAAGCCATAGACTTCTATATATATGTATATTAGATAGATGTCTATGACACAAGCAAAAGAGCTATATAGAAATTTCAATTACCGCTCACCTCTAATCGGATTCAACTGCAAAAATATCTCCGCCAATCACGTGATGCCTGCGTTGTTCCACGTGTATTTACATAAACTCAGGTTAGGCTACCAAAAGCAGAATTTTCAAAAAAATTCTCAAAAACATCGACGACAATATTTTGATCGGTTGAACAAAATGAAAAGTCGAATTGAAATACTAAATGAATAAATTCATTATTTTTATACTTTTAATCATTGTTGTCTATCCATATTTAGATTTTTTTAAATTCATTTTTATGAGGAGAGCACGCAGGCACGTGTTTAGTTTTACAATTAGAACATGTGCAAGTCATCCTAACAACGATTTGCGCGAAATTTTTGAAATTAAAATTTTGAAAGTTAAAATTGTATTATTTTGTTATTATTATTATTAGAAAGTTAATCAAAAAGTTAAAATTATATTATTTTGTTATTATTATTAGAAATTCAAATAATTTTTTCTCTCAATTGTTAAAGGTATTTTCGAAATTAATCATACAAAGAAAAGTTTAGATAAAATGGATAGAACTGAACAATGTAAAGGAAACCAAAGGCGAGGAGCTGAAAATTCAGAAGAAATTGTCCTTATTTCAAAAACAGGTGGTCGTTACAAAGTGGACAAACTTTTATTCAAACAGGCTAGTGCTTACTATCGAGCTCTGGTCAACAGCGGAATGAAGGATGCAAACGTCCATGAACTCACGCTTGAATGTTTGTCTGACGGTTGCTTAGATAAAGTCGTAGATTATTTGTCGAAACAGCAAGCCGACAACGAAAAGATTGAAAATCAGTCTGTGAAATCGTTTGAAGAGATTGATGAAGGTCTGGAAGGTGCGACATATTTGCAAATTAGTGAAATGATGGATCGGTACTTTAAATTTTTATCAAAATATCCGTTAAACGACACCACGTGGCTACATATTTTAAATCTTGCAAACAAGTATTCCATGAAGGGGTTGATTAAAAAGATTATGAACTTTATTTGTGATAATTTCAACAGCCTCGTAAACCACGCTGACTTGATGACGTTATCTCTAGAAGAAATGAATCACTTTGTTAAATCAGAAGAAATAAATGCAGACGGCGAGTTTCAGATTTTTAATTTTATTGTGAAGTGGTTATCTGTTGGTGTCGACCAATCAAGGATGCGCCATGCAGAAAAGTTATTGGACGAAGTGAGGTTCGGTTTAATGACAACCGCTGAGAAACAGAAAAGCCGAGACGTGATTGAGAAACTCAATTTAAATGTGCGTCAAACTGAACGAAATATGAAGTGCCGTCGTGTGGAGCGTGTCTGTTTAGCTTTTTTGGAAGAATATGAAAAGGTATGTATTAAAACCTAAAGTTTTTATGCTTTTCCATATCTAATTGCTTGTTAGTTGTTTTCAAATGAATGTGATACATGTTGGGATTAGGACCATACATTCAGTCCGATTTGAGGCTTACGTCAATTCGAGGTTTCAATTTTAATCTAAGGTTTATCAACATCAATAGAAATTTAAATAGAATATGAAGTTCAGTTTTTTAAATATTTTTTGAAATTGAATGCTAATGATCATTAAAAACATATTTTTGTGAATAAAAATGTTAAATTAATTGTTTAAGACCAGCGAGCGACAGCTCCAGGGTCCATTATCAAGATGATAAAAGTCTCGTTAAAAAAATTGAGAAACCCAACCGCAAATTGAATAAAGCCGAAAACGCAGTGATCTCTTTATAAATAATTTTATTTATGATAGTCTAAACACAATATATAACAAACGGACCTAGAAGCACTGTACGCCGATTGTCTCAGAAATCAACGCTTATTCAACTTTGACAATTTAGTTCACAGTCAATTACAGGCCGAGTCACACCGCCATCGTAATACACCATCAAAATATACGATAGATCCTACTTTGTTTAAAGCTGCCAAACAACTAGGTCGAAACAATACAATTACCATACGTAAGTCCGACGAGTCTAAAACATATGTTATATTGAATCGAACAGACTACATAGACCAAATCAACAGCATCCTTGCCGATGTCACAAAATTCTCACCAATTAATAAAGACATCCGATATAAAATCTGACGCAAATAAACTACAAATTGGGGTATTATTTTAAATCGAACATATATATGTATATATATAATAAATATATATGTGTGTATATATATAAATATATATATATATAACCAATAGGATTTTTAGCCAATTAGTTCTATTGTTACTTGAAGAATTTCAAATGGAATAATTTTAAACGCATCAACCAAACTGTTGGTAATGTTCATTTCCAAGCAACATAATTAAAAAATTCAATATGGATCTAAAAATTATTGTGATTTTTAATCAATTGACGTTGTTTGCAGATCCATTTAAAAGTTCTCCATCTGGCTGATGTTAAAAGTGGCATCGGTCTTTCACTTCCACAAACTAACGACTACAACGCCTTCAAATTCAACGATGAGCGAGCACGTCCCAATACACATCCCATTATGTGTAGTAGTTTTGAAACCTGCGTGCTAGATAATTGCTTGTACGTTGCTGGGGGGGTGAGCTTGAAGTCTTCAAGTTATCAAGTCCTCGACAACGTTTATGTTTACGATCCCATACATTCCGTCTGGTCACAGGTGTGCTTTTTTGTCAATTTTTAACCATGTCAAAAAATTCTACCTCAACTTTTGCTTAAAAATGTCGTAATTTTAATTTATTTCAAAATATTCAACAAACAGAATCAGAATTAGAACAAAAAATCATTGTTTTTTTATATATAAAATTGATTTAAATGTGCCATTTTTAAAACTCAGACGCAATGCACATAATTTAGACTCATTTTTCCATAACTAAAAATATTGTTGAAAAGAAAATTTATTCCATAAAAATATTCAGCGTTCTAACATGCTTTCGCCAAAATGCAACTTTTACTTTGGTGAAATGGATGGTGAATTGTACACAGTTGCTGGAGTTAATATGGACTTTTCAGCACTTGGTTCGACAACTATTGAAAAGTACGTTCCTAAAGAAGACCGGTGGTACCAAATGTCAAGTCGACAACCTGTTCAGTTGGAAAATTTTTCAAGTAGGGTTTTTCGGTTTTGTAATCGTGTTTTGCGTTTTCCAACATGCTACGTTATTTTATCATGAAATTTGATTGATTCAATTTGTTCTTGTTAAACAAATCTGATGTTATAAATTATAATTCGAATAAAGAAATAAACTTCATTAAATTTTCCTATTTCAGCATGCTGTGTTTTTAATGGAAAAATATATATGAGTGGAGGACTCGATGCTGAAGGTGAAATCATCAAAAGTGTATACAAGTACGATCCAGCCACTGAAGAGTGGCATTCAGTAACCCCATTGCTGACGGGTCGATGTAGTCATATTATGGCACCCTATGCAAACAAATTATTTGCCATCGGAGGAATAAATTACAATTTCATTGACAGATCTAGACATATAATGGTTAACATTGTTGCCAGTTTTTTTACTCTAACCCATTTTAGATCGCGGTTACGAATTTTTAATAATTTTGTCTGAAGTATCATGTACTATTCTTCATTTATAATATTTTCACGCATGAAAATTTATAGGGTCATCAAATAACAAGTAAAACTGTTTTTAACAACTTCATGATAATCTTTAAAGCGGAAATCATTTTTACAAAACAAGGATTGGCATTTCAAATTTTGTATTTAGACGTCAACACAGTAATTAATAAAAGAAATTAATTGAAATTTGATAAAAGAATATATTATAAAAATATTTAAAGATAAAAACAATTATAAAAGTAAAATTTCCACACTCGGCTTATTACTATCAAGAAAAATATTTTTTGTCAAGTCCTTTAGAAAAGTCTACTTTTGTTGATTAATTTGATTACATTTTTAAATTTATTCACAAAAATAAATTGAAACAGATTATTGTGATGTGGAATAATTTATATAAAAGGTTTATCATTAACATCATTTTTTCTAAGGATGGAGAGATGTTTGATTTTGAAACCAACCAATGGACATCCATTTTAAAGTTAAAGATGCCAGTCAATTCTTCAAAATTTATTTTGGACAACAACCAACTATATATTTTTCAATCCTGTTCTGGAGATATTAATGAACGTGACAATCTTCAAATCATCAACTTTTCTAACTGTTTTGAAAATGAATCAAAAAAAGTCAATAAGTCAGCTGCAGACCAGAGCCAGACATCAAAACAACCACCTCTTAATGTTAATGTTGACTGTAAGGTTTTCAAATACAATAACCAATTTATAACTATTTCTGGTTTATGTGTTTTAAAAATGTCTGTGAAAGTTTTGGAGAATTTTATCAATAACAGCAAACAATTTGGTTGACCGATTATATTTTTTAATTTCAATTAAACGTTTTTGTTAATAAACTTTTTTTATTTTATTTTATTTGCTTTGTAAATTTCTGTTATATAGCTTGTTTTTAACATTGTATGAAACTATGAACGAGCCATGGGGAAAGTAGCATAAACTATTATTTTTAATTAATAATTAAAATCACCTTCTTTTGGAATTTGTGGAGACTTTTTTCCTCGTTTGTTTGTATAAACTTCAAACTTTTCCTTTTCAATGTGGTGATATTCAATCCATTTGCAAAATTTAAAAATATTTTATTGCTCTGAGTACGATATTATGATTGCGACATTGTCAGCACAAATTATATATAATTATAAATTATTCTATTCGTCTAATACTAATTGAACTAATTGAATTAATTACGCAATATAAAATAAAGCATAATGGACGTTGCAGTAATCAAAAAATTAAATGAAATCCACTTTTTAGAACACAATGAACCACAAAAAGTGCTGGCAAAACTAATATTTTATATTTTAGTTTGATGTTAAAGAGATAGATCATTAACTCAGAAATTGGAAGGAAATTTAATTCTTAACTCCTGTGGATTATCCATAATTTTAATTCATATACTGTTTGATGTTTGTATGTGTCAACGATGGAGAATGTACGACGTCAACGCTACTCTGGCTTTCAGTAGTCTCCAAAGAGAATAATCGGATAGTTCAATTCCCATCCGAAACTTTCAGCTTTCATGTTAGGCTAACTTAACTACCTACCTACCTACCTACATACCTACCTACCTACCTACATACCTACCTACCTACCTACCTACCTACCTATCTATCTATCTATCTATCTATCTGTTTGCTCTTAAGATTGGTGCAAATTATGATAATCTACATTCGTAAAGTTGATTATGTCATGAATTTTAATAACTTGAGTAAAACAATTTTCTTTCGGATATATATATATATATATATATAGAGAGAGAGAGAGAGAGAGAGAAGAATGGAAAGAGAGGGATGGAGAGAGAGAGAGAAAGAGAAAACATCGTCAATAGAGGTGTGTATGTTTCTGTGTGTTTGTTTGTGTGTGAGTGTGTGTGAGTTTGTGTGTGAGTGTTTATGTGCGTGTGTGTTTTTACATATTCTCAAGAATGAACGTTGATTATAATTATTATTTACATTGAGTCGAAAAACTCTAGTTAAATATTCCACATAACGTTTGCTGTCAGTAAATATATCATTTTATTTAATAACTTTGTATCTTGCATGTTTGTTTGTATGTTTGTATATGTGTTCGTGCGTACGTGTGTGTTCGTGTAAGTTTGTGTATAAATGTGTGTATGTAAATAAGTATACCTATATATAATCGTAGTATGAGAGCAAAAAGCACACACACACACACACAAACACGTACAAAATAAATTGTACAGCGAAAAAAAGTTACATCCAGGTGCAATGGTTGCATTATAAATGTTAAATTTTTCCATTTTTGTTAAACTTAACATATTTTTATTTTTTTCCAACTGAAAATAAATTGAAATATAGAAAAATTCAATTTGTGTCTATGCTATTTTCTATTGGTCCTAGATGGCAAAGCAAAAGTCGAAATAATTAAGTAAGAAACATAAAATAATACTTGGCTTATTTTTCTCATTTGCATGTATGTCAGTGAATCATCGAACGAAACAACTAAGGTAACAACAACAACAACAACTTCCTCTTCAACATCGTCGTCGTCGTCATCATCATCGTCACATCATCATCATTAGATATATACTGACTAAAATAGGTTGGGATATTTACGTTTTTGTTTTTTAATGTATATTTTTTTATTTGTTAATTCATTTTTTATTAAATAAAATAATTAACGGTTTTTTTTATGATCATTTGAAAAAAATTTTCTAATCTTTTTTCCTATAGATAGTTGGAATTTTCTATTTTTTGTTAGAAAAATAATTTTTTAATTTATATAAATGGAGTGTTAGAACCTAGAAATGCTATTATAAATATTGGACAATTTCAGTTATTTATTTCATTAACTTCAATCTGATATAAAAAAAAAAAAGTATAACAAATTGACTCAAATTCAAAAATTTAAAAATCTTATTCACTGCAGAGAAAAATCATAAAAGATAAAAATCCAACAACATCCTTAATATGGAACCTGATAAGCAACCTCAGCAACAACAGGGCTATCCAACTAATCAAGACAACCCCCTTACTCAGGGCAACCCCCCTAATCAAGGCAACCCCACTAATCAAAGCTACCCCCCTAATCAAGGCTACCCCCCTAATCAAGGCTACCCCCCTAATCAAGGCTACCCTCCTAATCAAGGCTACCTCCCTAATCAAGGCTACCCCCCTTTCAACTCTAGCACTGTATACGTGGGCCAGCCTCCTCATCCGAGCACTGTGATCTACATGGCAAACCGGCCCTACCTTAATTTTACTGGGGCCATTGTTTTTTCCTGCATTGTATTCTGGTGCTGCGGCTGGTTGTTTGGGCTTATCGCTTTCATTCTCGCCAGTAGGGTTTTTTTTATTTGATTATTTTCAGGAGAAAAATTTGAAAAATTTTTTTAAAATTTTGGCTGATGAAAGAAAAGTTATTGTTTGAAAAAAGTTGTTGACCATTTTTACGCTATTTCATTTATTCATACATCATTCCCCATCTAGTCATCCATCCATCCAACCATTTGTCTATCCATTAACCCATTTATCAATCAATCAAATCCATTTATTCATTCACTCGTTCATTCATTCATTTGTTTATTCATTCTTTCATTCATTCATTCAACTCAGTGCTCGGTCAGTCATCGGCTTCGAACGGCGATGAGGCATCAGCCAAATCTTACCTGACAGCTTCCTACATTCTGTCCACTATTGGTTTCTTCATCGGCCTTATCATCATCATTGTCCTAGTCGCCCTTGCAGCTACTGGCGCGGCTTTTGTGACTCAGGCCGCAAAGGAAAATACTTACTACTGGGTTAGCATGGCAGTCTAGATGATGAAATAAATTAATATTATTAATTTTTTGTGAGAATATAAATGAAAATGTCAATCAAGAAAAAAATGTTTCAAGGATATTGTTCCAAAAAATTTTATTGGAAAATTTTTGGCACCAACTGTTGCGTAGTTTTCCAGCTTTGCAAACTGTGTTGGACGGATCTGCACTTTTATAATTCCATTCAATTGATCGTTCATTCATTTACTCTTTTATTCATTCCTCCGTTCATTCATATGCTTATTCATTCATTCACCCGCTCATTAAAAAACGATTGTTTTCATAAATTTTTTGTTTTGATGGTAGAGTTGATCGATTAAACCTGAAAATTTTTCCAAAAATCTTCAAAAAGCTCCTCTTTAGTCCATCTCATAAATTTCTAAATAAATGATAGTTAATTTTAAAACTTAGTGAGAGGAATAATAATAAGAACATTAATTAAGTGGAAATTTTAAAAACATTTTCATTTTTCTGCAGAACTACCGATATAGTGGATGAAGAACACGTGATGATGAAACTACAAAGAATATACGATAAAAAAACTTCGATAGTTATCATAAATTTCATAATAAGGAACTATAATATGTACCATTAGATACCGAAACATGGTTAGAATAAAGTGATTCAATCAAGTTTATTTATTGCACTAAACATTGTTGGCTGATATATTATTTTGTTTTTATTGATTTGAATTATTGAATATATGAAACTGAATTAGCTGTAAATGCATGTCTAGTTAAGATAAAGACCAGAAATCACTGTTTTGAAGGCAATAAAATTCTATTTTGATTGACATTTTTGCACTCTAAAGGCAATAAAATTCTATTTTGCTTGACATTTTTGCACACAAATTGATTGTTTTTTTGACTTATTAAACCTACAGCCACAAACGATTTGTCAAAATATAAATGTAAAAAATGTTGTAAACTTACAAAAAATTGAATAAAATTTTTTTCTTCACCGTGTTTTTATTTATTACAAGGTGTGCTGGTAGAATAAAAAATGTACATACATACATACATGCATGAATACATACATACATACATCATACATACATACATACATACATACATACATACATACATACATACATACATCCATACATACATACATACATACATACATACATACATACATACATACATACATACATACATACATACATACATACATACATACATACATTAAAATTTTACTTTAGCCTATTAAATATAATATTCTGTTCTACGTTCTAATGTTAATATTAAATGGTTCTGTGACAAATATTGAAAAATATTTGTGATTTAAAACTGTTGTCTAAACCTATCGACGGCATTAACGCAACGACTACGTTTAACGCAAAATTAGACAAAATTAGGGAAGTTAATGCTTCAATAAAATCACTGTTGGATGGGACTGATTTTCAAATAATAAAAAATCGATTGGTGATACCATACATTTGGCCATGATTTAACAGCTGAACAGCGTAGTTGGTTGAAAAAGCGCCTGGATGATGCTGAAGCAATGGAAGCTAATTGTAACGATGTTTTTTTTATATAGAGTGCAATGAGAAGTGAGAAAGTGGAAAATTGTTGCGGTTTCCGTCAAAAAAGGATTAAATCAATTAATTAATGGCAGAGTGTCTTGGAGTTATGACTTGTATGATTCGGTTAAGAGTAATTTTAATGATGTAACAATTTTAATAATTTCAAATCCAATGTTATACTCGAATTGTTAAATATCAGGTCAATTTCTTCAAAAATAGATAAAATTCATAGATTAATTTGTGATCTGTTTTTGATGAAAACTTGGCATAGGTAAGTTGGAAACATTTTCGTCATGAAAATGTTTTTACCTAATCATCTATGTAATGTCTATTTAATGCTATCTAATAATTTAATGTAAACAGACTAAACTAACCTGCAGACAGATGGTAAGGTCTTACAGAAATCGCTTGACGACAGATGATCGAAATAACTGGCTGGTTTCTTTCAGGGCAAGAAATAAGGTTCATCACATTGAAGGAATTTACTTAAAACTAACTACAGTTCTAAAAATCGTTTGCAGATTTTGAACAAAGTTTTATGTAGAAATAAAAAAAGACAATAAATAGGATGATGATGTCAACCTCACAGCTTCTCAACTTATGCAGTTTTCACAGATGAGGTCAGCAAGATCCAATGTTTCAATTCCGTCGGCTCGTGGCAGCCATCTTTCAAATCTTGTTTTATTTTCATTTTTTCATTTATTTTCATTTTAAATTACAACAGGTTGTATTTATAAATTCACTATCTGAAATTTCAATTACTGCATCAGGGTTACCCGAAGGCTCAGTTTTGGGACCCATCTTCTTTACGCTGTAAACGTCGGACATTACCAAAATAATTGGCTCTAATGGTTTCGTCTGCCATGTGTTTGCTGGTGATATTCAGATACTGGTCGCTAGTCCTCCGAGTTTTTTTCAACTTGAGGTTGACATATTTATCAGGTGTTTATCAGAAGTGCGTCGTTGGATGTCACCCAACTCGTTAAAGCAAAACAATATAATACCGATACAAATACAAAACTCAGTTGCTTCCAGTCGGAACATGGCAGCAGCTGTCGAAGATTGATTCTAGCTCTGTTAAAATAAAAGATGTTGATAGATCATTTATCATTACAGCTTTCAACTTAGGTGTTCTGCCGGATAGAGAATTGTTAATAAAAGACCACATCAAAAAGATTCGGCCCTCGAGTCACAAGTGTTATCTACCTCAGAAACATGTGTCGAATCATTACTGTCGCTAGATAGATCAACATTGGAATCACTTGTCCACGCCCTCATTGCATCTCGTTTAGATTATTGCAACAGCTTGTTTTATAAACTGCCAGACAGATCAATCACAACCCTTCAGTCAGTACAAAACATAGCTGCGAAACTTGCTATCGGTGGCCTAAGATTTGATCACGTGACACCGATCTTAAACGAGCTTCACTGGCTGACGGTAAATAAAAAAATAGTCTTCAAAATTGCAATTATTACATTCCAATCATTGAATGGTATATCACCAGAATATATGACAAGTAAATTCGCCAAAAAACAAACTACATCGGTTTTTCATCTCAGGTCGGGTGATTTGAATTTGCTGTCTGTGCCAGTTACACGTTCGCCAGTTGGTTCAAGAGACACTGCAGTTGCTGGACCCGCTGCTTGGTAGAGTCTTCCACCAGCGTTGAGAAGATCTCGACTGTCATTGGAATTATTTAAGAAAGAATTTAAAACAATTAAATTTATTGTTGAACTGAGAAAGGAGTGAATTTTTTAATTTTTAACTTTCCATATATAGTCACGTACATTTTGTTTTTTAATGGGAGCGTTCATGAAATAGTTTTAATTAGCGCTAACAAATTGTTCTTAATAAATAATAATAATAAATATATATATATATATATATATATATATATATATATATATATATATATATAATATACATATATGGGATATAGACTTATTAATAATAATAAGTGATGATTAATAGTAGGGATTAATAATAGCATGACAATGTGTACATAAACGTAGTTAACATTAAGTAACCTGTATTAGAAGATACGCTGGTACGTTGCTGCGAAAATGTTGGCACGGTGTTTGATGGACCAGGGTCATTATGTTCTTTGATGAGATTTGTTCAATGAATACTTATCACTAGTGGGTATTGTTTACTGATATTATTTTGTAACATAGAGGTGTAAATGTAATTTTACTTTGAATTGAATATCTTGCAGAAAAATTATAAAAATTGTTTTATTTATTTTTATTCTAAAAACTGAAACAACACCTTAGACAGCGCGGCTAGTTTATTCTCAATAATTTTTCTCATTTTTATATTTTTTGATAATTTTTTAAACCATTTTCTGGAAATCGACAGAAATTTTTTTTTATCATCTTTTAAACTTTCACGCTCTATTTCTTTAACGATTCAATGTTAATAAGTCAATAAATTAGTTAATTATTAATAAATTAATTAATTAATTCATTCATTCATTCATTCATTTGTTCGTTCCTTCGTTCGTTCGTTCGATCGTTCGTTCGTTCATTCATTCGTTCGTTCATTCATTCATTCATTCATTCATTCATTCATTCACTCATTCATTCATTCATTCATTCGTTTATTTATTTGTATATATCATTCATTCTAATTATCTTGGTTCGTCTCCATCAAATAATAAATAACAACATCTTACACACACGAACTATATATCAGAGAATAACAACTTTGAATTCAATTCAAAGAACACGTAACAAACAAGATGAGTGAGTAGGTTGCGGTTGAACTATTTCCAAGATTCATTGTTAGGCTACTATTGGAGGAATGTTACGTAACATTAACCGCGTTTGCTACACAATGACGGGCTGGGATATTAAAATAATAAGACAATCGTAGGAGCATTAATCATGAATTTAATACAAGTTCGTTCAAATGGTAGAAGTTTCTCACCGTTCTGATATGCAGCCACCTGGTTCGAAGACTTGTGCGTATGATGTGTCGCTTGAGTGTACGTGTATACAAAAAGTGTAGGTAATTTGTGTGGTGGGTGGGATGTAAAACCTCGCTTGCACAAAAGTTGGATTAAAAATAATCAAGTAAAAAACTATGTAAGCAACTTTTTTCAATGAAAAATAAATCTGTACTTCCTTGATAGAAGTTGAATAAATGTGAATAAATGGAGTTTTTAAAATTTCTTAATTGTCTTGAACGTTTTCTTCAGCACTTTACAATCTGTGACGGATTCAGAATTTTGCAATTTTGGGAATTTTGTGGAGGACGATTTCAAATTTTCAAAGTTGATGTTATTCTTTTTTTTAGCTAATTTCCGTAGTTCCTGCCTTTTTCAGTTTCAGTGGGGAGATGATTTTGAGAATTCCTGAGTCAAGTCAAGGACCTTTTTTGCTAATTTCCGTTTATTTTATTGCTCTATTTCACAAACAATTTTCAACATATTGCGCAAACTAAACAAGCACCGACGAGTTTGGAACAGCAGAACAAAGTCTTTTCCATCACGTCACACAGAGAAGGAAGTTTTGACGGGGTTAACTTGTGCTCATGCCTAAAATCCATCATCGAGTCAACTAAATAGCCAGGTAAACAAAATGTTATAAAAGGTTTCAAAATAAATTGCTGTTATCTATTTACTGATCCATTCATACACGTGAGATAGGCGTCTAGAGCTTTTAAAATATTAATAAAATAGCGTTAACGCGTGGCTTCAACCGATCTTATCGGACGAATACAGAAATCGTTGCTTAGAAGTTATATGAGTTTTTAAGTACGTTGATAATTCAACCGCATCCTATATAAGTACACTTTGAATGATTCAGTTTTGCCTAATTTATTATCTGCTGATAGATTTTGCTCTATGAGAGATTTTAATTGGTTAACAGTTTTTTTTAAAAATTTTAATCATGGGTAAGGTCTGCGTCGTCCTCATCATATTGACATGTGCTACCGTGAAAATAATTATGGGGACAAAATGTTATAAATGTGTTTTTTATGGGGCGGATAGTTTGTGTATTTAAGAAACGGACTGTCCAACTTATTGCAAAATAGCTCACTGTTCAGCTAGCAAGTTGATATATTTGATAATTTTTCACTTCAATAGAAAATAATCGTTTCCTTGATATATTGTTCAATTTTGAAGCTTCAGAAATTTATTACGGTTGCTCCGATAGAAGAGTCTCTTATGATTGCACCACGATCGATTTTTACAATGCTGATTGTACGTGTAACTCTGACCTATGCAACAGGATAACACCTAAACCTCCAACCGCTGCGGTAAGATAATTATTATTTTTCAAAAATATTCAGCTGAAAATTTATATACTTGTTAACAAATCAGCCCGTTACTACAGCAACGACAACTGCAGCAACCACATCGTCAACCGCATTCATAAGAGAAACCACTGCTGCTTCATCTCACATTGTAACAACATCCACAGCTTCATCGAAACCAACTGAAACTGTTTCTGTTTCGACAACACCTCTTACATCCCCGGTTTCATTGAAACTTACCGAGACTTCTTTCGTTTCAACAACATCCACAACCTCCTCATTTTTATCCAAGCCAACAGAAAGTGCTGCTCCAACATCCAAGTCCGCTGAACCAGTGTCAACGTCATTCGTCATCCTTCTTGTGGCTGTTAACGTTGCCATCATTGGTGGTGCCACTCTCATTGTAGCTTGTGTTCTGAAGAAGAACAAACGAGCTCAACTTGACTCCAAATAAACCATGTTTGCTAAGTAAAATGTTCTTAAGTTAATTTTTTACTAAATTACAGTTGTCTAAAAATCGAAATAATTATTGATAGGCCCGAAGATAGCGCTTGATTGCTGGGACATTATGCTCCAATGACCATCTTCACCTCGTATCGAACATAAATTTGTTCGGTAACAATTTTATTTGTATAACGTTTGATAAATTCAATAACGTAAAGAAACGTTGATTTGATTAAATAAAAAGCCATTCTGAAAGTTTAGTAACTTTACACTTTTCTAAATTTTAAATATTTAAAGAATTAACTTCTACAAACCAATTGAATGGGAATTATCAATACCGATTGATTGAGATTGATGGCAAGAAAGATGAGCATAGGAGGTCGCCTTAAGAGATACTGTTAAAACTGCCCGGTCGATGACGGGTTCATTTAAGTTTAATCCCAATAGAAAATTAAGACGCAGAGTCAAGTCTCAAACATCGCTTTCCAATATCAATCTATCTCTATTCGATGTCCTACACGCCTTTATATACCCGATTTTAGGGCCGGAACTAGCGTATTTGCCAGGGGGTAAAACTCAGTGTGCCGCCCCACCACATTATTGTTATCCTACTACCGTAAGCTGTTGTTTAGACGCCGTTCTTAAACTGCATACCGATTGTTTCTTATTAAAATGTTTTACAAATGGAAATATTAATATACCTGTTAAGACATAAAAAAAACAACAACAAAATAGTTATACAACATTATAAAGTGAAAACTTCGTTAATATCGCAACGTCAACGTATCAGGTAATTGCTTTTATATTACATTAAAAACAAATTCCTCTAGCTTTTTTAGCTGCAAATGATTATGTCACCAAAAGTGATAATGAATACTCGTTTGCATTCGATTGAAATTGTGCTTAGATTGGATAGTTTCTCCTGCCCCATTGTAATTCTCATGTAGTTTTTGATGATTTTGAATTTGCTGAAACTTTGTTCTCCAGATGACACTGCGACAGGCAATGTGAGAAACATTCTCAATGCAGTAGTAATGTTAAGGTAGCCTTTTTCTAATTTATTTTTATAAATGAGAGTAAACATTTTTTTTGATGTGGCTTTTTTCAAACTTTTGTCAACTGTGAAAGCGTGATGCTTCAAACTTTCTATTTCAAAGTTGAATTCTTCAACGCTGAGATCAGCTGAGTAAATATTTGCCAATTCTTCTGTTTTAATTTTTAGATCTGTAATTTTTCAATTTCAACACCACTCAAAAATCTAAACATGCTGTTCACATTATTAAAAGCTTCAAATTTGTCACTAAGTTCTCTAATTATTCGGTCAATGATTTTTAACGTAGACCCTTGGTAGACATTTTCAACACTTGCAAGAGCTTCACTCTTACACAACTCATCAGGCACCTTTTTCATTCTTGGTATCTTCTCTGAAAATTCAGATTTTATATAATTTATTTTTGTTAACAATTTACCCTCAGCACTGGCCTCAGATGGTGTAAACTCTCCGCAAGACTTCAAAAATGTTAAAAGACTGCTGTTAAATCTCTTTAAGGAAAAATATTTTATTTAAATTTTTTTTTTGTGCATTTTTTATCACTAACATTAGATTTGATGAAAAACGTTTCTAATTTTGGCTTTTTTGAAAAAATTTTGTTTTAGGTGTTCAAAAATTTAAAAAATTGGAAAAAAAGGGAATAGGAGGGACGAGACGGGAATGAGTTAAAAAATGGGACATGGGAATTTTCGGGAACGTTGTCATAAGTGGGAATTCGGGAGGGAAACTGGGAGGAAAAGCAAAAATGTGAGAGGATTGGGAACAAATTTCAATTTTCGCTCACTTCAACTATACATACCTCGCTGTCAAAAGGTTCCATTTCTTTCTCGAACTGTATGCGTTCGTAGAGACACCAGCGAATCCTACGACCTATTTTTGACGGTTATAAAAATATGTCTGTAAGAATCACCGTAAAATTAGTTTATTTGACTTTACATTGCACTTTCAATCCATCTAGCGGTTTGAAAGATCAGGGTCACTATGTTTTTTGATGAGATTTGTTCAATAGTTATTTGTTACCGATAGGTATTTTATATTGATATTATTTTGTAACAATGAAGTATGATTACAATCCACTACGAATTATTAGGATTAACAAAAAAAATTTAAAATATTGTTTACTTTTAGTTTAATTAAAAAAAATCAATTAATTTTTTGATTTGTTCTAAAATTTCTGAAAACACTTTAAACGTTGAGGAATGTAGGGATAAACTTCTAAGCTTTGATGTTCCTTGTTTCCACCGACCATTCACCAGTCCTACCGAACGAAATTTATTTTAAGCTTCTTCGTAGTTTTTGTCAGTGGATTTGAACAATTTCTCGAAATATATGTTCATTTAACCAAGATTAATGCTAGAAGTTGATGAATCAGCGAGTTTTGTATTAAGTGTTCCATATATTGTGATGGATGATTTATGTGGATGATGGTCGTGTTTAAAATAAAAATATTTTACAGTTTTTTTTGTCCCTTATCCTTTTTAGGACATTGATGACCATCGACTTTTGACAATTTGTAGAAGTTGTAGATAGTTTTTTTGGCAAAGGCTGTGGACAGCAGGTTGCCTTTATTTGCTATCAACCGCATCGTATACGCTGAGTATATGATGGCCAGGCTTAACTCAGGGCACATTCGAACCACTATGCCATCTCACATTTTACAGTAGTTCTTATTTAATTTGTCTATATTTAAAATGCGTTTTTTCTGACACGTGCTTCCAGTTACTAAAATTTGGCTCTGTTTTATTCCATCCTGCTTTTTTTAAACGGTCATAAAATTTCACATAATTGAAGAATTAGTGCTATGATCGACAATTATTTTCAAACCGTTATTGTTGGGGAAGTAATCAGGGCTGTTGTATCATTTTTTGGCCTTCTTTTGCCTCATTCCAAATTTTTTTGAAAGTTAAAAACTTTTCTTACAGCACAACTGCTGCTCGTACGTTAACAGTTTATTTTAGTTCGTTTCGGACTGTTTTCCAGAAGATTAAAGAATTTAAGAACATTTACCTAACGATATATAAAAATTTATTCAATTCATGTTTCATGTTCATAGAGAACTTTTTACAAAAATTTTGTCTTCATTCCTGTCATTTTGACCCAACTTTAAAATTGTTAACTCTTCAGTATTTTGAGTCATGTGAAAAAAAAACTTGACATCATAATTGTTTAGTTGCTGTTAGAAATAGACCTTCAAAATTTTATTCAATGTAGCCAAATAGTTTTAATAAAGAATGAAAAAAACAATCCCCCGTTCTTGTCATTTTGAGCCGCACTATTATACATGAAACACCTATCACCAATCAGGATATTTGCCTGTAAACTGAATGTTGATTTCAAAATAAACAAACAAGCGACAGAACGCGTCCACCGATATATAATGACGTCATCCAAAAAAAAATAATCAAAATGTTAATTTCGGTGTGATCCTACACAACGTTACCTTCCATTGCTGGTCCTTTTGCATGATCATGAGGTTGGAGACTGTTTCGATTATTAGTTACATAATTTTTGTTTACATCTTCATGTAACTTTCCGAATGGTTTACTATTTGGCTCCTCTGTCTGTCGCTAGCCACGGCGCGTTATCAATGATTTACAACTTTTTCTTATTCCAAAAAAAATTATTGACAGGAGATCTATAATGTAATACAATATAGTATAGTGTATAATAAAAAAAATAATAATGAAAAAATAAAAACTTTGTTACCACTATAATAATAATTATTATTAAAATTTAATTATTAAATTTTGTGATGTTGCTATGACCGGCTTCGAACGCAAGAAGACCCCTACCCATTCTAACGTTATTTTATTTTACATTATTTTATGATGATAATGAGGACTTTAAAATTACAATGATTACATTAATAATATTAACAATAATACATATTATTATTGTTATTTTCATGGTGTTAATAATAATAATAATAATAATAATAATAATAATAAAATGATTAAGCTCTGGGAGTCACGTGCTAAGTTACCCGAAGAAGGATGTAAATGATTACGATTCCGTTACTGCCAGGTATAACAACAACATTAATAATAATAATTAATAATAATAATAATTAATAATAATCATAATTAATAATAATTATTATTATTATTTTCATTATTATAATTATTATTATTGCTTTTATTAGGAGAAAATCAGCTGACGTGATTGCTAGGAAGGTCTGTCGGCAATCGACCGTTGACAAGAACTGGTTCAAAGAGTTCATAATTTTATTGCTGAACCTTTTCATTTTATATACCCACCCCACTCAATCCCATCTTCACCACACACACACACACACACACACACACACCACAAACACACAGTTAGTTGTAATTTCATCATTAGCATTTTATAAAATGTAAACATAACCATCTGATGTAAACCAATAAACGGGTTTAGGCAATAACATCAACAACAAGGCTAACAATAATTACTGATATTAACAATGTTATTACCATCATTAACGATAGAATAATGAAGATGATAATAAGATGACGAAGAGTAAAAATGATAAAATGTTATCAAATTTTTATTAAAATCGTTTGATTTTAAGCGTAAAGAATGAACGAAACGAAAAGAACCCATTCATAGAAGTATCTTTACATTTTTTTTGTCAATTTCCGTGTCTGTGTTTGTCTCTCTGTAGCCTGTCTGTTCGTCTGATTGTTTGTTTGTGTGTGTCAGTGTTCTTATGTCCGTCTGAGTACGTGTGGATATACGTCAGAGCGCCTGTAATGTATAAAACATCCCACAGTGACAAAGATGAATAGCTTTGATTCATCGTTATATAAACTATTAATATTATAACTGCGGATTCCAATAAAATTTGACTATGCACTGATTACTACTATTGGGGCACACATACGCACGCACGCACACACACACACACATATATATAGACTCATTTTAAATTTATTCAGGTTTATGAAAGGTTATTATCGCTTAGCTACGATCATATATATTATCAATTTTATTGAATATATTGATCATATATATTATATTATAGAATGTACAGACATAGACTGCTTAATGTTGTATCATTGGGCAGTCGATAAATAGTGTACCGTACCGAAATAATTCAGAACTATAATTGTGAATTAACAAGCTGTTAACATACAAAATAATAACAGCTGTATTTTTTTAAGGCAAATTAAGTTTCCATGTTTTTCGTTCGTTCACTCATTCAATCATTTAATCAATCATCAATCATTTATACAATCATTCCATGTTTTTCATACCACGGGCTTCGTTTGTACATTCATTAAATCGTTAAATCAATCATCCATTCAATCATTCATTCTTTTATCCGATCAATCTTTAATTTATTCATTTATGATTCTTTCAATATATCTTTTTGTAATTTTGTTATGCTTATTGTTTTAACACAATTGTCTTACGTAAAGTCATATTCATGAACATTCAGTGATTATGCAAAGGAATTTAAAATGCACCCAGCATTATGAAGTGTTGTTTGCTAACGGTGCTAGCAGACGCTGGCGAATTTACAAACAGGCTGGGGCGGCAAATTTTGAAAACCAATGATTTAAAAATGTTCAATTAAAAAAAAAATTATTATTAAAACTTCTCTTCCATTCAAGAATAATGATTTCTAACTGTAATTAATAAAAACTTCTAAAAAATTGAATAAAAATTGTCCTTCGTTCTGATAAAACAATCAGCCAATCGTAATTGCCCAAGTGTTAAGTGTAGACTTGCATTTTGGATGTACGCTTGTTTCGCTACAGGCTTTTCGGCCGAGCGGATTTTTCTCGTTTAAAGCTCGAAAAAATTATTTGCGTCCTACAAAGTCGGAAGAGAAGTTAAATTTTCAAGTAAATCTGTTTATTGAACAAACAATTTTGCAAGGATTGGACCTTAATTTCATTATTGACGAGTTTACGCGCAGAAAAACACGTCAAAAAGTTTTGAAGTAATTGAAGTAACTTTTAAATGTTACATTACTTAAATATTATTAAAGAATGTGCCTAATAAATGTATCAAAAAGATTGCTTTTATTTAATTTAGCGTTCATTTGCATTTGTTCCAGTAACACTTATCGCATTTGCATTTTTGCTTTTTAGTTTTACCGGCTCTTCTTCCATTTTTTGAAGGCTTTTCTCAATTTTCTCAAATTCGGCATATTCGAAATCAATCTTTTTCACATTTTAGTTCATTTTTTGCATCTCCAAAATCATTCACAGCGACGTCAATTGCATCATTATACTGCACCACATTCAAACTATCAACAGAGTGAACGCCAATTTAATTAATTAATTAATTCATTCATTCATTCATGTTTAAATTTACTTATTAATTCATTTATACGTTTTTTACACTTCCATTCATTAATTTATTCATTCATATATTCATTTATAATTCATTACTTTATATATATATATATATATATATATATCAATTGATTCGTTCATTTATGAATACATATATCCATATACAAACTATTCAATGACAAACACGTGTATGATCACATGTAATTAACACGACATTCTACACGACATTCCACACAACATTCCATACAACAGCCCACACAACATCCCCCACAACATCCCACACAACATCCCACACAACATCCCACACAACATCCCACACAACATCCCACACAACATCCCACACAACATCCCACACAAAATCTTATACAACATCCCACACACCAACCACCAACCGCTCAGCCGTAAGGACGTCGTACTTGGCTTGCAAAAACAACTGCAACAAATACGGCAGAGGAAAGAGTACATGCTGCTTAAATATCAGGAGGAAGTGCGCAAATTGTACATCCAAAGCATTCCACGCCCGGAAGATGTTCGTTTAATTGGCACCGGGGAGGCATCTCATCCAACTGCCAGATATCTCAACGGAATCTACCAACAGTATAAATTGCCCGAACTAAAGGTGCATGAACCAAAAAAGACAAAAGGGTGTATTCATGAACCTCCAAAATGTTCTCCAAAACAACCACAACGCAAACCAGTTCAACAACAATATCAACAAACACTCCAACAACAATGTCAACAACAACTTTTACAAAAACAACAACTGCAACAACGCAAACACTCTAAAAGTGTACACCGAGTACCGCAACAACGCCTGCAAAGATCACAACGACAACTATCTCAACAAAACCAAACTCAACAATTACAACAACAAAACCCTCGATTGCTACAATCCCAAGAACGACAAAAAGAGCTGCCTAAACAACCTTTACAACAACTACTACAGCAACAACTACAGAAACGACGATCACAGCAACAGCAGCAACAGCAACTACAAAAACAGCTACACCGCCAACAACAAAATCAAACCCTACAATCACAAACTGCAAAATACCTTAAACAAATTTATCAACAGTATGGATTGCATAACCTAACTGCGAAAGTAACAAAAGAGGCCATAGTGCTTGCTCAACAAACTCCACAACGCCCACTGTTAAAACAACAACAACATGGCCAACAACAACCACAACACTAGCTAGTGCAACGACATGAGCATTCTAAGCAACAAAAACAACTGCCAGAAAACAACTGAAAGTAACAGTTTACAAACTTATGCAGAGCTCCGACCACAATCTCGACAACAATCTTAACAATCTCGTCATTCGGTAAAACTTCAAGGACAGAAATTACAACAAACTCAATCACAACAACAAAAGAACATCAAATTCAGCAATTTCAACTACAACAGAAATAGTAATAGTAACCACAACAACAAACATTAGCAACAAAAAACTCAACAACAACATCCAACAATAAAAACAATTCAGTGTGGTTGCAGTGTTTAGTGAAATTGTCCAGTTTGTATATAAATTTCGACTAGTAACTGTTTAGCAACTCCCTTCAGCAATTACCTTTTACCTTGGCTACTTTTTAACTTTTGTGCAAATTTTCATAGAATAAACAAAAATTTTGAGTTGGGGCCAATTGACCGAAATTAAATGTAATGGATTCGAGTGGAACAGTAACTGTTAGGTTACATTTGTTTTTTTTTTTATAAATTTTTAGATTGTATTTCTGACAGACTATTGCTTATCATGTTTTTTCTTGTGTTTTTGTGTTAACTTGATTGCACTTCGTTTTTTATTTCATTGTTACTTGTTTTTAGTTCATGTTTCACTTTATTAAAGTCATGATTATGCTTTACATTCCATCTTGTTTTAACTAACTTTCTTTCAATTTTTTTCCATTTAAAAAAAACTTGATGCAAATGTTGAATAGTTGGAGGAAAATAAAACAAAACATCTGAAGTTAAAAAACTATGAACAGGATGAAAAATTAATTTCACTTTAAAAATTTAAAAAAATACAATTTCTTCTTTATCATTTTTATCAGTTCCATGTTTTTTTTCACCCTTCTTCAACATGGAGGTATGAATCATTAGGATGCAGCTTGAAACAAATTGGAACAATATTAAAATGAGTAAACAATAAATAAAATGAACAATAAATGAAATGAACAAAAGAAATAGGGAACCACTATTCTCTCTTCATCATGCAGTTACAGATGGCCTGAAAAACTATCTAAAAATTGGAAATAATACAAAAATTGAAGGACTACTGAGCAGGGCATTCGCAATTGGTACTGGTGTACAAAGCTAAATTGAACATAATTTTGACTGAGAACTAATTAGGTCCCAAACAACAATAAAATAAAGTTTAATTTTATAGAAAAAAAATAGAGTTTAAGCCACATTTCTTAAAAATTGTGTAATGAAGGAAATAACGTAGACATGTTTTTTCTACATATTTATGTACGTATATACTACTCACAAAAAATAGAGGAAAACTTGATGAAATGTTCAATAAATTGTTTATACTTACTTTTCTCTTGATTTTTTTTGTACCAAAAATCATAATCAACCTCACGTTTCACATTATCTTCAAAAAGTAACAACAAATAATTAAAACATTTTCAACAATTATATAGATAAATGAACGTGTTGGTTCTCAGGGATAAAGTGTCATGTCTCGTCTCACTGCTATTGGACTATGACCTGTCTGGTTCGATTACTATATGCCGAAAACTCAAAGACTACCATGTATCTTGTGCGTGTGATGCCGTGATTGCGGGGGCATACCTACTAAGCGTCTGTGCAGGTTTCGCGGTGCAGATGGACTGCCGCGCCATTTTTTGAATCTTTTGAGAAGCGGGGCATTAGGTATTGTCGATCTATTATTAGATTCATTTATTTGTATATACGTAAAACTTCGCTTCGAACCTACTTTTGATTTCGCTGCTCTTGCCCCTTATATGCAAGAGATTCCAAAGATTACAAAAATAGCAAAGATAACAAGTGAACAATAATTAATTATATAGCGCAATTCGTTCATTTTGGCGGATATAACAATATGTTTATATTTACTCATTGGTTGGTCTCTCTTGAAGCCAACGTCATAATCCACGATGCGTTTTCCAGCTGCATCAGCCGCTACACTCTCGCTCGCAATGAACAGTCCAGCCAAGATGGCGGCTAATGGAACCAACGACAGTTAACTCAGTTTCATCTTCTTCTCTTTGCAAATATTAGGACAGCTCTCACGATCTGAAGACATTTAAAAGTGAATAACAGGAATAACATGCTTTTATACATGAATAAGAATGAATACAATTATAATCATATAAGCAATTACATCAACATTTAATAACAATTTAATAGCAATTACAATACAACACAAGGCACAAATATAGTTCTCAGTAACAGCAAAGTCTCTATCTTCAGAGCAGATGGATGGGTTCGGAAACCCTTGCGCCTACCATTTGCACACCATCACTATTTGTGGCATTGCTGGGCAATAAATTTTCATCACATTTAACAAGCGTGTAATTTGAATTGAAAAAATTTGTCAGCAAATGTTTTATGAAACGTCAGACGATACTTTATTTATGGGAGGAAATTTTTGCGTCTCAAGGTCCATCCAGTCCAACAATAAGATGTTATTACGAAAAGCGTCTAATAGTTTATGTTTTAATTTTTGCTTAAAATTCACGGAAGAAATTTAAATTAAACAAATATTAAAGTACATTTTTATCTGGAAAAAGGAAAAAACACAGTCGTTAATCGTCTGAAAAAGTACACACACACATACATACAATACACGCACACAATACACACACACACAATACACACACAACACACACACACAAATAAATAGAAATGTACAGAACACATGGTCTGGTAAAATATGAAACTGTAATTTGATATTCGGTTTTGGCCATGTTATTTCGAGTTGAATTTTTATTTAAAAATTATATGGCCAGAAAGACTGTGTTTTTAGTATTAAACATTTAATTTTAAATTATCATAATTCTCTCCATAATTAATTAATTAATTTCTCAACTTTTATTTTTATTCAATGGCACGCACTTTTCATCGCTGCCTGACCGCAATATTCAGCACAAGCGAGAAGATGACTATTGAGTAGCGTTTATTTTTTTCTAACAAGTATCCTGACAGCAGTTTCTTTATTCAACTGAAATCAGCAAACTCGATATGGTGACAAACGTTTTTACATTTATATACATATACGCAGTCAAGCTTCCTTATAACGAACTTATATACAACGAAAATCTCTGTATAACAAATATTCCTAATGTTTCTTGAAATTTTACATATGAAACTTTTTTTTATAGAACAAAAATAATTTCTCTACAATGAATTGAACTGAAGTGCTTTTTCGATTTTCTAATTAACTTTTCTTCTCAACTTCTCAATGAAGGAGTGAACGAACAAAAAAAATGATTGACTAAATTAAAGAATGAATGAATGAATAAATGAACGAATGAACAAAGGACAAACGAACAAACCTATTTATTGAACTGTTGAATAGTTAAATAAGAAAAAATTGAATTAATCAGAAACTTCAAAATTACGATGGAGGTAAAATAAACACAGATGAGAGCTTTTAAATCGTGATGGCTCTTACGCCACAAATGACGACAACAGACTTTTATTTTAAATTAAACTATTTTAAACTAAATTGTTTAAAATTAATCTATTCCTTGATCCTCAACAAAACAAAACCGCCAATAAGCAATACCTGCATTGGAAAACGAACCACACAACATTTGACGTAAGGGTTAAAACGATGTAAGGAAATGACAATGACACCATCAGATATCAAATCAATTTTTATGCGTTAAAAAATATAAAAAACGCTGTAAAATTTTTTCAAGAAATAAAATTTCTCGAAAAAATTTTAATAAACGATGAGATAGAATCACAAAGCACAGCCAGGCGACGGGATGTCCAAGTTCATAAGGTGACAACCTTATGAACTTGGACACATGACAATGTGACGCATGAATACGGTGTGGAAAAAACTCCCTCCTACCACATGCTTCATGTCTTATGTCTTGCACCAACCCATGTGCGATGTTTGGGTGTTGTTGAACTTTGGCAGAGTGCGATAGACTTTTGGGCTTCTATCTTTTGAAAGGAACAAACGGCGTAAAAATTGTCGTTCACGCTGAAGAGCCACTTCACTCAACTACAACATCTAATAATGTGATGTAGCAGAAGCAGCAGCAGCAGCAGCAGCAGCAGTAGCAGCAGCAGCAGTAGTAGTTGTAGTGCTGACGTTAATACAAAACAATTGGAATGAAAAAAATGAAAAGTGTTATTCAAAGTCCACCGACAAAGAAGACAGTTGGGCACTTGATGAAAATGATGAGTCCTTGTATGGAAATTTCAATGGAGAGGAGAAAACGCCCTGAGAAAACTCTTGAACTTCTTAACAAATACTTTACTCGCTGATATTTTACTATACATTGTAAAATTTATTACTTTCTGATAGAAACAAGAGTAAAATTGGCAGTATTTCTAACAGGAATAAGTAGTAATAGGATTTGTAGCGTTTGTATTACTGATGTAGCGGTAGCAGTAGTAGTAGTAGTGGTGGTGATAGTAGTAGTAGTAGTAATAGTAGTAGTAGTAGTAGTAGTAGTAGTAGTAGTAGTAGTAGTAGTAGTAGTAGTAGTAGTAGTAGTAGTTCTGACGTTAATAGAAAACAATTGAGATGAAAAGGAAACCCACTCGACGTTATTACCAATCATTTTTTTATTTAAAAAAATGTTATTATTGCGATTAATTTATGTCCAACGAAAAACGCTGATCACGTATGTACTCGAAATATCTGATCATTTTCACATTATTATTCATTTAAAACAATTTCAAGTGGCTGCAAAGTCAGAATAAATTTACGACATTTCTTGTATAAATAGATATTAATTAGTTTATTTTAAAATCAGTTTTTGAAACTGCTATAAAGACAGGTAGAAAAGATTGAAGTTGACTTAATGATCAACTGCATCAACAAATTCAAGGTCTATTTCCGGCTTAAATAGTTCGAAGAAGATCGAATGTGGAAGAAAATTT